GCCAAATGAAGAATCTCCCACCGAGGCAATACATTGGAAGATTGCCAATAGTCTCTCCAGTGGAAAGCTTCCAGGCCCTTTCATGACTGCTTCTTGCTCTGCAATTTCCTTTTTTTCCATTGATTTCTCAGAGGCCCTGAGAAGGAACCATCATGAAGAACAATCAGATTCTTTTATTCAAATGCATTATGAGAATACAGTAACAATTACCACTACAACTACATACTTTTACTAGGCTTGTTATCAAACTCAGTGAATCAAATCGTTTTCTATTAAGCAATATGCCAAATGAGAAGCAATGATACTGTTTTTTTGTAACTTACTTCCTCTTTCTTTTACGATTATCCATGCCTCCTGTGGAGTCAAACATCGAAGCATCTAGCGTTGCTGGGTTTCTTGAAGCGAGAAAAGCCGCAATGAGAAGATACTTTGCTGAAGTAGACATATGGAAGTCCAATATCTCAAGTTCTTCACGGTTTTCAGAACTGCAGCTGGCTTTCTGCCTTCTCTCGCCTCTGGTATTGCCATCATGAGCGTGACTTGAGACCCTGAATATCTCATTTAAACAGGGAGCAATAAACGGTTTAAGGTGGCTATACAGCCTTCTCTTCATGTCCTCACTGGGTGAGATCCCTAAATCATCAAGTGGTTCACAATATTTTCTGAACAATGATGAGAAGCTAGTGGAAAGTTCTTCAAATCTCCTAGTGACCCTACAGAAAGGTCTCAATACAACACTGTTTGAAACCAAAAACGACATTAGTAAACAATACAAGTAAAAGATCAAGAAAGCAAGTCAGGTAGGCAATGTTGCACTATAGACTTACTCGAGGAACGCAGAGTACAGTTTCCGATTAGTTTGATTCCTCAAGAAAATTTGACGAAGATCCTCTTCAGAATACTCAGGAAAATAAAGAGGTATAGGGTCTGTGTATCCCATGTTTGAGTAATACACATCTGGTGGTAATCCACTGATAAGTATTATACCAAGCTGAGGCATCTTCAAAACAGAATACAAATTGAATAGAAACTGCAGAATCATTGAGCCTTTGTCCCAACCTCTGATAAGATCTACATTATCAAGTATTAGGTATACCATCTTCCCCATGGGTTTGGAAGCAGATTCGAGAGTTTCTATCACATTACTAAGGGACTGTCGAAGCAAGTTGACAAAATCAGATGGCTTGTCACATCGTTTTGCACTTGAATACCCATTTGAAGCGCATTTCCTATGTAGCAACAACTGATTTAGAATCGACTCAAACAAGATACGGGGATTGTAACACGTACGGCAACTTGAATAAACAAAGGGGCGACTGAGATGCCTGAACACCTGAAGAGCAACACTGGTTTTTCCAGTAGAAGCGCCTCCGTAGACCATTACTGGAAGAGTAGGGCAATCCAACGGGCCTAAAAGACGAATAAAGTCAAGAATCTGAGAGTGTCTTCCCGGGAAATTAGAGAGAACAGCATCCAAAGTGATTGGTTCTTTCCCAAATGTGAGGTCATCAACGGTTGGTGTGTGGGATTCATTAGGTTCCGAGTTGTCAACAGTTACAGAAACTGTTGACCTAGTGCTTCTTCGAGTGGCTTTAGAACTCTCCTCTCCCACCATGTTCTTTAAACCTGTGTCCAAAAGTCAGAATGAAACAAGACATTGGCGATAAAAAACATACCGCTAGGTAAGGCAATAAAACTGAGAAAAACAAAATATGTTTAACAAATTGTGAGTGATAGATTGATAACACCTCAATGTGATAAAATTGAGCAATCAAAACTCAAACAAGAAATTGAAAATTAGTTTTCTCAGATCAAACAAGAAATTGAAATTGAAAAACTTATTAACCTATTATATATCAGATCAAACTTTACAGCACAATCGAATGCTATTCTAATCAATCTCGAAGTTCTGTCATAACCATTTTCAATCATATAAAGCAGGAAGCTAAACCCAATGAACCTAAAACAAGGATTAAGCATCATTCATCCAAAGAAGAAGCTAAACCCTAAAAACGTAACTGAGAATTCCACTAGTCGCACTGAGAAAAAGGCAAATCACAAAGCAGAATCCGTAACTAGACAAATCGAAGGTAAGCGAATCCAACAGGGAAACAAAATAAGAAAATCGAGAAGCTTACCGGAGACTGCGAGCAGAGGTGGTGGTCGCAGACTGATCGACAGTCGCAATCTCCGTCGCGGAGAAGTTGAGAGAGAGTTGTCAAGTCGAAACCCTCAAAAACGACGTCGGCGACACTTTCCTACGTCTTTCAAATGATGTGTCGTTTTAGGACTTTAAATTTCAAGCCCACTACCAATACTTTTTTTTCTTTCTTCGATTCGGTTACCTGTTGGCCTCCTTATAGTGATCATGTCCTCAATTCTTAGATTTCGAAGTCGCCTATCTTATATAAACTTAAATATTTTCTATGGCGATTAGTCTCAAAAGTTATTGGCACATCTTCTCTTTTTAAAACTCATATGCATTATATTTTACCTAATTTTACTATTGATTTAAATATTTAATTCTAAGTTTTAATAAAGTTTCATGTCTTAATAAAAAAATAGATTTTTGGTCCGCGTCAAACGCATGATTAGAATATTTGAAAGGAAAAAAAATTCATGATTTTTGTT